ACTGTTGGCCGGCCCCGTAATGGCGCTAGCAAGACAAGGGGCTGTTTATTCCACGCATCCAGGCAACGCTCCTCCCTATTGGTTTATTCAACTTTTTTTGTTTGTTGTTGTATCAGTGTACTTAAGTTGGATTTTCCAAATGAGTACTATAGAAAAGAGAGATCTTCGATTCAGTCTACCTAGTATCATAAGTCGAGCCCAGGAAAGAGAAACAAGAGCAGGCTATCTCGAGTGTGTGAACGCGTATCGCCCTGGATCGAGTTGCTATTGAAAGAAATTTGCAGACTTAGACGCGACCTACTATATGGTAATGGTGTGGTGGAAAGAGAGATCAAGCAACGGACCAAGATTGCACTCGATGGTAGGTAGGACCTCGAAGGACCCAATCTATAGGATATTTCCCAAAGAGAGAGAACTTAGAACTAAAAAAACAGTTCATGTTTAGAATAAGTTTTTTTTAGTCTTTTTTCTGTAAAAAAAATCCAATTCTTTTATGAATTCATTTTTACTCCTACTAAAAAAAAGAACAGCAAGGTCTACACGGACAGACAAGGACAAGGGGATGTTGTCGGAGAGTGCACGAAGAGCGCCCACCGAAAAATGAGCAATGGAACTTGGACACGGGCTGGGCTGCTCACAGAGTCTAGAGCTTAAAAAAAAAAAAAAAAAAAAAAAAAAGGGTACAGCTTTAGGTAGATTTGACAGCTGGGGTACTCCCTAGCGTAGTGGACTTTGAGTGCTAAGGTACACTGACAGTCAATCCTCCACGAAGTTGAAGCAATCACTGCCGGTCAGGGGTCCTTCCGCCAGACGGAAGGAAGCGTGTGTGCGTAGATCATTTTATTCTCTCGACTTCCCGGTGGAAAAGGAACCAGACTGACGCTCCCCAGAATGGATATGGAGCCCGGACCATGAGGTCCTGTTTTGTTTAAAGAAGAAGAAGAAGACGAAGAAGAAGAAGAAGAAGAAGAAGAAGAAAAGAAGAAGAAGAAGATCACTGTGACGGTCTGCAGAAAAAATCATCAAAGTAGAGGAAAAATAAGTTCCAAAGCTAACCCAAAGATACGTCGTATCTAAGCCATGTTATAGACGGGGATGGAGTACAACTGTAGGATGCAAAAATAGCAGCAGTCGTCAGAGATTAGCCACTTCCAAAGACTTTCAAATTCACAGACTTGCGTTTGTTCCTTGAGTTTTCGAGATCGTCCGTAATTTTACTATGATCGAATCACCACTACGTATATTGGCGACGATAAAACCAGTATCGAAATGGGACAAAGACTGTACCTCGGCATTTTTTCTCAAGTTGAAGCAGGCACTAATAGAACGAACGCCTTCGCGTTGTGTTCTAAAGATAGCAGACCCTTCCTTACCATTTCCATTTGTCGTCATAACTAATGCAAGTCATTTGCGACAAGGGTCACGGTCGCGCAGCGGACTCGCGCTGCATCAAAATGGCAAGAAGGGATAGCGACCCGCCCTCTAAGACAGTTCCTAGCTTGACCTATGCGCATGAGTCCAAGTTATACGCATTAAAAAAAAAAAAAAAAAAAAAAGTTATACGCATTATACATAGCATTGCAAACATGACGTCATCGACTTCTAGACCGACATTTTTGAAGTCCATTCAAACCACAAGACTTGTAGACTATCGTAACATCCTCCGCGCGTAAAGACATCACGCTTCGGAACAATACGCTTAAGATGCACTTCAGAAAGTCCACACAAACTTTAAGTTGGCCACATGGGCACAGAGAGGTCCACAAGTCCGACTTAGATTTGAAGCCGGTCACAGAGAAGTACAAACATGGCGGGCGCTGGAGATACGCTGCCTGGAGGGTGTCAATGCTTTTCAGAAATTTGTATATAGAAGTACAATCATGGCGCTGGAGATACGCTGCCTGGAGGGACAAACGGCTCCGGAACTATCGTAACATACCTTTGCACCGTAAAAACCGACAGCATAAGATTTTCAAAAGCATATTATGAAAAGTCTATAATGCAGATGATGACACTCTTATAGTGAGATTGTGACTAGAGTGAGAGATAAGAGAGAGGCCTTTGAGCCAAGAAGTGCGCGAATATAGAATAGCTGGCAACTTGCTGTTCCTAACCTCTGCCGGCACCGATAGACTGCATTTTGAATATAGCAAAGAGATACACAGCTTAGGGATCGACGAGTGTCATAATGCAAAAGGACATTTCAAATAGAGGAAGACCTCTGCAGACTTGCTTTGGTCATACATGTGGTGCTGCATTGTGGGCAGGAATGAGGTCTGTGATTGTATTAGACGCAAACAAGGGTGCAAAGGGCTCTCAAGGGAACAAAAATACATCTCAACTTCCCTTACAGGACTGTTGAAACCATTACTAATCAAATTCCCTTGGAACTGGAAGAATCAGGGCCACAGATCAGATATTAAACTGATCAGAAGATTCAGAACAGATACGCTGCACTTGATCTGTTTTTAAGGTATATCCCCAAGGAAAGTTCTACACTGTCAAAATTAAATGTAATGCGCATGCGAAAAACTGGAAAAAAAGGAAAAAATATAATTCAAAATCTGGAATAGGACTCTGGAATATGCTTGTTTAAGCTGTGTTTGGAAATACAGCGTATTTGTGAGGATGACAATAAACAAGAGGAAAAAAGAGAACAAAAAAAGGAGAAAAACCTAGGCTACCAGCCGGGCCGCCCGGGTCCCGGTGGCCAGCCCGTGCAAGGACCAGGGAAGGTCCCAGCAAAACTTAAAAAAAAAAAAAAAAAAAAAAAAAAAACCGAAAAAAAACTATGTTATGCAGAAAAATAAACTGAACAACTTTTGCCTCAGGGTCACATCGAAATTCAGCACCAAATTTAGAAAAAAAAATAAAATTTAAAAATATTTTTTTATTTTTATTTTTTTAATTGTTTTTGGCCCGGCCGGGCAAGTGACCCCGGGCCACTCTGGTAGCCTAGAGAAAAACAAAACAAAACGTGCATAAGTGCAGAATGCGTATGCAGTGTACTATGCACAGTTCGTTTCCGATGCGGAACTTGTGGTGGGATTTGTCATGGGTTTTTTTTTTTTTTTTTTTTTTT